GGGTTGGGGGGGGGGTGCAACTCCTATTTATTTTTTCCCCCAGTGCTGCATTTATGTTGACAGTTAATTTAAGCGGATCAAGGTGTCCAGTGCCTTGTCTAAAGCAAAGGCTTAGTATGACAAATAGCAGGGCAGTAAACTCCAAAGTCTATCTCTACAGCCGTGCTGCCCACTCTCTGTCTGCACAGATTAACCTTTCCGGCTCCGGTGACATGGCTTTCGATTATTTCCATAGTCGGCCTTCGAGCGGCGTGAGTAGAGAGCACAGCCTTGATACGCAGGATCCTGACAAACATCCCCGTATCAATTTAGGAAGAAGAAAGGAGACTAACAACTAAATGGAGTGAGGAAAGCTGAAGAGAGCGAGAGGGAGGGATAGAGGGAGGACTGCTGCCGTGTTCAGCTGCGGTTCGGCGAATCAATCAAGGCTGCCTTATTTCACAGCTGTATGCTGTTCCACGAAAAAATGCCCAAAAACACAACTTAAAAATGGTTTATACCAATAAGAGGCATCACTAAAGTGTCCAAAAAGTCACATTTAGGACAAAATAGTACCATTCATTGGCATGTATGATCAAGTCCTTCTATCGGTTGCTTCATTTTGACTATAACCAATAGAACAAGTAACCTAAAAAGAGTCAGCATTCACATTATAAACTGACCAACACACCTAATCACCAGCCCTCAGCTCTCAGCCTTGATTTTTATAGGCGACAAAAGTGCTTGTTGCACCGTGGCCTTTTCATTGCCAGAGTGTTTAAAACACGGTTTCCGGCATAATCAGCTTGCAGTCCAGTCCAGCCGGAGATAATTAGGTGGAGTGTTATAGGGGCTGTATTGTGCAGCTCTGATGGCTCCTTGCTGAGCTCAGAGAGGACTAACCACTGAATCAGCATGTCGCTGTCAGTATATGATGCCATATTATGTCTGTATAATGGGGCCGCTTGAGGGAAATACAAAATGATGTTTTTCTGTTGGCAAAAACATAAGATTGGGGAGATCCTCATAGCAGCGATGCAATTTTATAATCAGTCGTGGAATTTTCCATGTAGGGATATGTGAACGCCCTGGCAGGAGGCTTGTGAAACTCAATTTTTAACAGGTGAGAGTGGTTTCAAGGACGTTAAGAAGTGGGTGAGACATGAAGTCCAGGTGGAATGTGTGTAAAGGGGATTTTTCCATTAAAACTGGAAGAAAAAATACAACCTAGCATAATAAACTTTTGTCGTCTAATGACTGTGCAAGGGATTTGACTTGGACTTGTGGCCAAAAACGCCAAACTTGACTTGGATTTGCAAAAGAGACTTGTGCCCATACTTAGTTCATAAGCAAAACAAAGTCTAGTCATTTAGCTACGTACAAACCCTGACGTAGCTCACTGTAACCCCCAATTTTCACAGCATTCGGAACGGCTCTGATCTGGAACGGCGGCGTTGTTCGCCGCCCTCCAATTCCTCCCAGACCTGGTAGAGAGGTAAATTTTGTGGCAGGTTACACACAGCAGTAATCGCATGATAACGAGTTGTCTCTATAAAGACAGCCACATAGGCTAACCATATAAGCAGTACATGTTTTGTTTTTGTTTGTTTTGAAAAGAAGCCGGATGTTTTATTTTGTGTCTTCGTTTCAAGCATGGGTTAATCTGTGCTAAATTTATCCAGCATGCTCCGGCGTCCGGGAAGAATAGAACTCTTGTGATCAGCTGTGGAGTCCAAGGATCCACAGTGGAACGGAAAGAAGCTGGTGGAAATGAACACATTAGTTTGATGGGTTACGATCAGCTGTGATCAGCGGATATGGCCTTTTCGTAGCTGTTCCGGATCAGGTGGAAATTGGGGGTAAGCCTCCTGGTTATCAGGGAAGTGGACTGACGCCTAGGAGGAGAGGTGAAACATCTTCAAGACCAGTGGTCCTAAAGTCCAGTCCTCGAGGCCCACTGTCCTGCATGTTTTGGATGTTTCCCTGCTCCAACACACCTGATTCAAATGATCAGCTCGTTATCAAGCTCTGTAATGGCTTACTAACGAGCTGATTATTTGAATCAGGTGTGTTGGAGCAGGGAAACATCCAAAACATGCAGGACAGTGGACCTCGAGGACTGGACTTGAGAACCACTGTTCAAGACCTTCAACCAAATCCAAGATGATAGCTTTCAACAAACGAATCATAAGGGAGCGGTAGTGTTTGTGTTAAAAGACATATACTAGTTTCAGTCCTCATGTCCATACTGACAGTTCTCCAGGGCTTTTATTTACAGATATTAAGCCCTATTTACTTCAACCAATAAAAAAAGTGTTCAAAAGAAAGACCATATCTTTGACTACTTCTTGCTTACAGTAGATCACTAACTGCTGTGGATAATAATAATCCTTTTTTTTTTTTTTCTTACAAAACGCTTTTCTCAACACTCAAGGTCACTTTACAGGTAACAATAGGACAATAAATAGTCACTTATTTTGGGTAAAAAAGGAAACAGATGACACACAGGAAGTGATGTGGATGACTAAGGTTGCCATGGGTGATGGTTAACATATTCATCTTGAATCCTTATTCTGGGAACATGCTGGGTAGATATCTGAGTGAGTACATTGTATGCTAAATACCTGATTGGTGCTTGACAACGTAAATTCGGCAGAGTCAAACACGAGGGCGTGTCACACACTGTTTTAAACTAAAGCTAGGTTTTGTTTTTCTTCACCATATATGGAAATTTACGATAATTTAACATATTTTCATGAGTAAAGACGCTTATTTTCTGACATACTTTAGGTTAGGGGTTCAATAAAAGACATTTTAGTCAAATCTTGAGGCCGCCCTCTGAAATCAGCTTCAAGTTTCGGGCACATCTTGCACATTATGAGCGTTGTTGTTGTCGCTTAAATGCAAAATGTCGAGTCACGCAGAGACTCAGATTATTATAACTTCTATAGGAAACCCTCATAGTCCTCTTTCAACGACAGATGATGTGATTTTTCTCTCTAAATCTTGTGTGCATGCTGTGTGAGCCTCGGTAAAATAGTGTTTTCTTATGTTATGTAATTGCATTATTGCCGCACATTTAAAGTCTGACACAACACCGGGCACCACACGCTGCTGTTTTTATATTTTGTTAGTGACATTTTGTGCCGCTAATGTGCAAAGTTCCCAAGTGCAGCATTAACGTGGTGCTGCAGATGTAGCATCTGCTCCCCACACTCTGTGCTCGTGTGGGCGGGTGTTTGTCTTCCACTTCTTTGTACAAAAAAAAAAAAAAAAAAAAAAAAGCTTGAATGTGCTGCTTCAAATTAACTGATCAGCTGTCTCATCCTTCACTGCGATGGTTGCACTTCAAAGACTCTTGCTTCTGGCGGCCCAATCCTCAGACTGCATTGCGTGCTAACAAAGAGAGCTGCCTCCCTCCTGGCCTTTTAGGACTTTTAGTCCACCTTCAAAAACTGTGGAGCAGCAGATGTGTCCTCCTGTCCTTGCTGACTTCTAAATATCTGTTGTTTTGGTCATAAATTTCTACCTCTGCAATCAAAAAAATTTGTGCCAACTTAATCCGCCTCTCCTCGCCTATTCCTCTGGGACTTTCCTGTATCTCCCACTGCATCAGTCGGTGTCTTTCCTCTTGTCCCCACAGTCTACTTTTCCGTCATCTCCCCCCCTCTTCACTTCAGACACACAGGTTTGCCTCTCTGCTTGACTAGTTGACAGATCAAGTTGGATGTCTGCCTGCCGCTTTAAGCTTATCACTGCTGACAACAACATAGTGAATCCTGCCCAGTCCACTAAGCATCTTGGTGTGATCCCTGGCAGCAATTTGCCATATGAAGCTATCACTGCAGCCGCGAGAACCCTCACGCAAATGTGTGCTCTTAAAACACCAGTAATAGCAGATTATTCACTCCCCTGGGACACAGCCTTGTTGCGAAACATCTCCTGTCAGGAGGGGTGGTGGGGGATTGTGATTTAGGGGAGCTGGGTTGGTTATAGCAGGTGCTAAAAACGTTGTTTCTTTTTACTCAATGTTAACTAAAGCTGAAAACATACAGGATTCGTATTGAGCGCATTCCATAATTGCGCCGTAGAGCAGCATTGGGTATCGCATACAGGATGTGTATTTGGAGCGTAGCAGCAACGTAGTGCAGCCCCAGTCAGCTCGGCTCAGTATAGAGGAAACAACATGCTAACCATGACTGAAATTACGACAACAGAAGGTTGTTTTGCCTTTCTGTGGTCTATTTCCTGCTAATTTGGATATAATTCAGTGACTGTTGAGCCTCTACTATATCTGAAAAAGCAACGTGATTTTACAGTTTCGGTTTTTGGAGGTTTGCTCATTCTGTTACCTTCAGACAGATCAGGATGGAACATGGATCAGGGATTGACCATCAAATTATTCTGTGTTACTGATAAATCCATGACCAGGATGTATTTCTCATCTACACAAACTGATACACAGTCGGGAGTTCACATATGGTGTTTTATTTTGAAATACCAGATCACATGCACGGTTTCCGCGTTTGACTTCCTGTCTAGAACGATCTTATCTGTGTGGATTGATGCACATTGGAAGCATAGAACAGAAAAATAGACTCGCCGTGTATTTTTTACAGTGCTGCTCTCGATACGATGCCGCGACGGAGCTGATACGTCCTGTATGCTTTGCTGTATTGATTAGAATGGCAACATATTTGCTGCGTGACGTGCGACGCAGTATCCTGTCTATACAAGCGTTCACATCAGCGACATTTATTTTTTTGTATCACGGTTGAAAGTTTCGCATACTGTGTGTCCACTTCTGACCAATCAGATCTCGTGTTGTTGCGACGTCAGATTTACCGGTATATCCAACATGGCCGACCGGCTGATTGTTTATGTGTCGGAGAACAGAGTACATTTTGATAAAAGACGCAAACATTACAAAGATAATGAGCTGAAGGACAACTTGTGGAGAGTCATAGCATTGAATTTCTCATATGACGATGGTTTGTGAGCTTTAACAGTTTTCTAAACGTCTTTGTTTTAACTTTCATCTGTGCTAAGTAACTTTAGCTCGTAAGCTAACCCGTTCAGATACAACATACCATATGTATTTTCACTGTCTTAAACTCAATCACGTTGCTGTCACAGCACCATTAGGTCTCGGTTGTTACCTTACGTTTATGGATTATAGTTTAATGTTCTTATCTGGTACTGGCCCTGACTCAGTACATGCTATCATGACAGACAGACATCTCAACACTAGTGTCTAATCAGAACTGAAAAACAGTCAGTCTGCTGTTGTGTCAGTCTTCTCGCCTCCATCCGGGACACGTGTTTTTTTCCCCCGGAGGCGTGTCAAAATTCGCCTCCGAATATTTCATAATTGCGTGTCGTATATTTGCATCATTCCTGGTGTGTAAGGACCTTTAGCCTTGAGTGTGCGTCAGCTAACCATGAATAAAATTTCAACAACGGCAGCATCAGGTGAGCTCTTGGTTCCTAAAACCCTGCAGCGGAGGAGAATCAGTTTCTACTTGATCTATCTGTTGTCAACTCATGTTTCACAATGTAAATATTCATTGTTTATTAGTCTTTAAATCACTTGCTATTACAAGATTACCAGGGAGGATTTGAGGCTAAGTGGGGGCTCTGCTTTAAAAGGGGCTTAAACCGCCTCCACACCCCTATCTCATCGCTGTTGTTTTTCATGCTTATTATCCTCTAAATGTCTTCAATCCTGCAGCTCCATGAGGTCTTAAATTTCCCCCAAAAAACCCAAACCACCTAATGCCTACCACCCCTTGGAAACTGTTTTGCCCTCTGTTTCATCACATTCAAGCTGATGTGAGTTTACAAAGCTATAAAGGGAGCGCCCGCGGACCGTTTCCGAGCCCTCGATACCACCCATCGCCCTCATTATACCAAACGCTCATCTCTTCTGTGTAAAAACCTGGACACTGTCCCGCTCAGCCCGGGCTCCCCTCCCTCCCAACATGCGAATAATGAAAGTTGTAGCAGACTTTTTAGGAAAAACAGTCACTCTCCGCTCTCCCCTGCATAAGCTGGAAACTAATCTCTTTACAAAACACTCAACATTTTATGTATTTCTTCCACTGCTGTGCCAAACTAATTGAGGACCACTGCAGTGGCTCTCCACAGCTCTTTTAATTATTCTGCGATTTTTCAGTCGTTCCTCATTTTCCATTTAGCCCTCAAGTATCCTTAGGAAAACTGCCACGTTTATCTCTTTTTATATGCATTTTTACCACACTTCTGCAGCAAGACTGTACTATATTTTAAAGAGGGGTACATCTGGGGTGTGCTCTCGAGCTGAACCGTGAGGCTAACAGCCACCTGGTGCCCACAGAATATACCGACTGTGGGTAAAGGACAGGAGAGATAAGAGATGAAGATAAAAAAAGAAAGAAAAACAGCCCTTCCATCGATTGTCATAGGGAATGTGGGAGCACTACCTAACAAGATGGATGAGCTCTCTGCATTGGCCAGGACGTAGGCTAGTGGGACTCTAATGTTCACTGAGATGTGGCTTAAGCTTGAGCCCCTGCATTGGACTCTACAGGGAGCTTTCCATTCGAGCGAGCAGAGGGGAAAATAAGAGCAGGAGAAGAAAGAAGGCCCTGCCATTTTTACTCATTCTTGACAGTATAATTCAGGGCGTGCTACATATTTCTCAAGAGCAGATACTGTCTTTACAGGTTGAGCTGTATTTCCCGCTTCTATCAGCCGAGCTGGAGCTGTTACATCACCCACTGAGATCATGTTGGATCAAGATGTATCCAAATCCATCAGTTTCCAGGTTCAAAGCCTGACAGGTAAGCCAACTGTCAAGCTGCTGCACCTTAACCTTAAAGTCTGCATTTTGAATACGATATGGAGACTGTACAGTGAGGAACTGGTTGTACTTTTGCGATACTTTTTAGATTGTGCTCAAGGTTTGTGAAGAAATATGAGGTTACAAGTGAGAAGAGGCATTAGCAGAAGGGAGATGCAACTTTAGATCTTAATGTTTATAAAAGCAAATTCATTTTATGGCTTAATGATGAGCTGCAGAAAGATGCGACAGACCAAAACCTCCCCAGATGACAGCACCTGATCCCATCTGTTGCTGGATCAGTGAGCCCCCAGTTGACCAGACACAACGGGAGATGCCTGTAAACCAAATACTGTCAAAGCAAGTCCTCGGGAAAGAGCATTGCAGGCTAAATCCAGCTCCAGGGACACCACCATATGATCAGTCTCTTTCTTTGATGCCCAGTCCGTGCTGCTCAAATCCAATATCACCAAAGTGAGATGTGAAAGATCTGATATTAATGAGTCTAACCCCCAATTTTCACCGCATCCGTTTGTGAGGTGAATTTCGTGGCGGGTTATAGACAGCAGGAACTCAAAAGAACCCATGGAATCACGTGCAATCGCGCAATAACAAGTTGTCTTTAGCCACAAAGGCTAACCATATAAGCAGTAGATTGTGTCCTTCCAGAGAGGGTAATCAGCATCCGCTCATCCATGGTGTTTGCATGGTGTGTAATACGATCCGCCTGAAACAAGGAGTGATTTATTTTGATAAGAATCCGGATGTTTTATTTTGTGTCTGAGCCCGACTTACTTTCCAGCACGGGCTAATCTGTGCTGAAATTTATCCGGCATGCTCCAGTGTCTTGAAAAAATATAACTCTTGCGATCAGCTGCAGAGTCCAGCGATCTGCAGCGGAACAGAAAGAAGCCGGTCGAAATTGACACATTAACTTGGATGGTTACGATCAGCTACGATCGGCGGATACAGCCTTTTTGTAGCCGTTCCGGATGCAGTGGCAATTGGGGGTAAGTGTCTTTTGATATTACAAAAAGTGCATTTTCTCCAACGGCCAGCAGGGGGCGACTGTACAGGCTGCAGAAACTATATAAAAAATGGACATAGTCATGGTTAACCTCTGGTTTATAAAGCAGATTTTTGATACCCAACCTTGTAACGTACAATGAAAGAGGGATATACATAAAGTCATTGCAAACATATATATGGATCCACCATTGTCTCCACCCTGTTACCAAAAACTGGTCTTTCCCAGTGCAAATAAAACCCACAATGGTGACCCCGAAGATGCCAAACTTTGGGCTCTAGAAGTTTCCTTCCCCCAAGACAAACCAGACTTCTCTAATACAGTGTATCCATTGTCCAAATTGCAAACCCCCTTTTCTTTTTTTTAAGGTTATTCTCATTAAAATACCTTTTCAGTGTTTCATCATTTTATACGACAGGCAATTGATCTTTCAGCCCAAGACAACCATTTTAAAGCCCCTGGTATAAATCAGTTATATCTGTTCAGACAGATTTTGTACAGAGCCCTTATTTTTATTGCGTCACCACATAAAGGATTGTGAAATAACAGTTCGGACACTTCTCTTCAGTTTCATAAAATGGACTGCCCTCTGCAGTCTCAGTCATTACTGTATGTAAGTAATAAATGGCGTTGACCTTCTGCTTTAGAAAATGACTGAGCCGCAACAACATCAGATAAAAAACAACGCACAAAGCTGAGAGGACTTTTGAATGCCAGTATTCGCCTTTTTTGTGGTTGTATTGTGTTTAGAAGCTGCACATAAATTCTACTAAACAGTACAAAGGCCTCCACGTATCTGCTGCTCATTTTCATTCCACTCACAATCAGCGTCCACATTGACAATCTGCTGTTCGGTGAGTAATGACATGCATTGGCTCAACATCAATTTTGAGCTCTTTGGTATTTTTCTCTGTTCACCCTGGGACCTGCAAGAGACAAGCAACAGTGGAACCTATTAACACGAGGATGATTAATGTGGCCAGACGAACCCGGTCCTGTAAATCATTCTTAAAAGTTGATGCAAAGGATGCTGGGTAATTACATGATCACAAACGACCCTGATAAAATAGTCATGGGAATGTATTGAAGATGGTATTTAATTTAGATTTATGTCAATGTGCTACATATGCTCATCGTGTTCCTGAATTATGGGGGGATTTGGAGAATTTGGGAGTCCCGTGTGAGGATTCAGTGAAACTCATGTCTTGTAATCTTAAAAAACGAAAAACGGATATAAATGATTCAACCTTTAAAATTATAATTTTCATGGTGGTTAAGAGATAAAAAATGTTCCCTTGATTAAAATTAATGAACTGACTTTTACTAATCAGTTATTCCAATTAGGGATGTTCACATTATGGGGCTAAACAATTAAGCGCCAACACCCCCACCAGTCAGTTTAACCAATTATGAGTATTTTTAACCAAAACCCAGAGGATACGACTACCTTCAATCTTAATACCTTCAATGCTGTACGACCAGGGTGTAAACAAGCACCAGGTTTAAACCTTAAATTGTTTTTATTTATTTATTCATTTTTCTGAAAATTGGTCACCTAGCAACAAAAAGTGCTTGTAGGAAGGGCTTTGTAATCAGGGTCGGGGGTAGCGCCAGTGTACAGAGCACTGCTGGTGGACATGTGCTGCGTTCCAGTTACCTCAGAAGTCTGAGCTGGAAATGACGCTACACCCGAGTTGCCGGTGTTTCAGTTATCAAGTCGGAAAACCAAGATTGACACCTACTGTTAGCTGTTGTTGGCTGTTGGTTACAATTGTCAGCTGTCGTTTGCCATTGTCAGTTGTTGTTAGCTTTATCAGTTGTATTTTACTCTTAGAAACATCATAGCACCGTGTTCACAGTTAGACGTTGGGCAGTGCAACATATACCACTTATTTAATTTCAAAACAGGAGCGCTAATAAATAACACATCATGAGAGCTTTTACTGTTACTTTTTATTGCTGATGCACAGTGCTACCATCTTGGATAATGACGTTATCATCAAGTCGGGGCTGGCGAGAATCGTCTGACTTTCCGAGTCAGGGGGGCACTCCAGATTAATTTTCTGACTCGGAGCTCAGAAATTCCGACTTCAAAGTAGAACTGGAATGCAGTTGTGTGCCCGTAGTCTGCTCAGAGTGGTGATCCAACAATTGATGGACAAAAACCCAACTAGATTTCCATCCAGTGGGCCAAATTTCATTTAATTGTAAAGTTCACCAAGATATTAGATATGAAGTGCCATTATTTTGAAAAACCAACTGTAAGTACTGCACAAAATGGCAATATTTTGGAGCTTGGGGCCACTGACCGAGCTGCCATATTTGATGAGTTTGAACTGAGAACATGCTGTGCCACTGGTATCATTCATCAAATGCTATCAACTGTTGGTAGCTGAGGGGCAAAAGGTCTCAGCTGACTGCCAGGCAGTGTGTCACTGCCTCTGTTTTGGGTGGGTTCACCCCAGAGACCTTGAGATTCAATTTCCT